TTTTTTTTTTTTTTTTTTTTTTTTTTTTTTTTTTTTTTTTTTTTTTTTTTTTTTTGGAGAAAAAGAAGAAAAGAAAGAAAAAAAGTGAAATGCATTGAGAAAGAGTGAAAAAGAGACCAGAAGACATGCAAACCACACGTCGAGAAAACACAAGACAGCACACCGTACCTCTCGGCTCCACACCTACAAAACAAAGATAGCAAAACCACAGCAACAAAAATGCATAATAATTATAATGACTTAAGCCTTGCTGAAAACCATACCCATTTACCTATACAAATATATACACCACCGTACCCCTACCTACATATCCAAACACTTTCATATACATACTTCCATACAAATACATACATACACACATACATACCCATAAATATACATGCCCATATACATACATGCACACATACATACACATATGCACATATCCTTCGTCAGTGCCCGAATAGAAAACCCAGGGTGTAAATGCCTGTTTGTGTGCAGTTGTGATCATGCATGGATCTCTCCCGTGGAATGTTTCAAAGTGAGTGTGGGGGGACCACAGACGCGACCCGCAAAGCCGGAGGCCGACATAAGGGAGATCAGTGCCAAAGACCCCGAGAGGGACCCCAAGCACGCAGCCCCTAGGGACACCCGCGTATTGTTTCAATATTAATATCAATGCAGTACAAACCATAATCTTATCTTTGTTTGTTTTTAGTTGTGAAACTAATCAAACATGGAATGAAAATAAAAGTATAAGGTCTGAGGAAAGTTTTCCTTTGATTATCACCTCCTTTTGGTAAAACTGAGCTAAAAGTCTTACCTCACCAAAGTTACTAAACACCATCCCAAGTAAGTTCTTATAGAAACACATCATGCACAAAGTCAGTGGTCATGGTAACATCACGTTATTAAGGTCAGGCTGTCTTTCATCTTTGGTAATAGTTTTGTGCTCCATCTATGTGCTACTTCTGCCACTTCAACTCAAATGTTCTTTACTGTGACACAAATGCCTCATTTTAGGCTTTTAGTGGCATTAAAATGTGCAGCCAATTAACTGAATCCTTCAGTTTGTCTGTCACGAGGAGATACAAGGTTTTTAAAGCAGTTTCATTGTGTGGACACTGAGTCAGTGGACATTATTTTTACTGGTGAATTATCTATAATTGGCTGGAGAATAATCAGCAGTAGTTAACTTGAGAAGCTGCAGTGGACTAACTTTATACCACCATGGCCGAAAAAAAAGGGACTTTGAAATCCTGTAGTCCACCAACTCAAAAAGCATAACTGCTCAAAAGCTACCAGAGGAGAACCGAGAGTATGGTTTTCAGAAAGTAAAAGAATTTTTTTCATCCATTTTTAACATCGTAGCAGAAAACCTGCCAGCAGTGGTGTGGATGTGTAAGACCCCTGAAGTGAAAAGGTCAGACAGTAGGTCACATTTTGCCAGTAGACTATTATTACACCGTATGCCACATGAATTCTATATACTGTGTTAATTAGGATGTGGATATCCAATGGTCTAAATAGACGAAGGATATGCAAACGTTTAACTGAAAGCAATAATAAACGCATCAAATGT